AAGCTATGCCATACTTTTAGAAGTGCTTGCAATGACTATGTTTTCTCCTTTACAAGAGTATCTTTATACCAAAATGGCACTGCTGTCTTCAAAATGTCACAACAGAGCATGTGGTTTGCAAGTGTCCACTTACGTCAAGAACCTCTTAACGATATCGAACACAGCCCAAGAATAGTTGGCACTTGTAGCTGTTATTGGAACAAGCTGTATGAATTCACTGAATTAGCTCCAGTTTCCATGAGAAAGTCTTTACTTCATCGATAGTCCTCATATTTCTTTTCTAAAAGCAAGAATTTTATAGGACCTTTGAACACGTTGTGTTGTTGTCTGGACTTAGCTAATGCTTCCTACTTAAAATCTGTGCATTTGAAATAATAAAACATATGCCTCCATTTCACCTGGAGGAAAAAGCAAGTTCTCATTATTCTCATAAAATTCTTAGAATACAGACTCTCCTATCTCTACTCCCATTTGTTTGGTGAGTACCTAACAGCTAGCTCCTCTTTCAGGCAAAGATCATTCCTACCACATAAAAGATGAGAAACAGCATTTGTTGTCCCCTATGACCCATCTCTGAACCAGTCCTTCTTGGTAAAGACAAATGGATTAAGACTCGTATAATTCACTTATCAGCTGAAGTCTCCAAGCCTTTTTGATATTTTGATATTTAAGTAAGATTGTCTTGATTTTTCTAACCACTGGGAAGTTCTGTGCCCTTGCTAGGATTTCAGGGAACTGCCCAAGGTGCAGGCTCATGTCTGTCCCTTCTGACTCCAAGTTACTGCACTGTTGAGCTCCCCTCCCAACCCAGCCATAGCTCTCCCACCATCTCTGTTCTATGCAAATGGGGGTGATGTTTCATTGATTACCACTCAGCACAGCCACCTAGGCGTTTATGTGTAGATTTTACTAAAACTTTTATACCATGGAGAGCACTTATAGCAGTGAAATGCCAACAGCTGAAAATGGACCATTAGGCACCTTCCTTGTTATTGCCCTTCAGTCACGTGACTCCCCCACCAGAAATTCCTTTGTTCTCTTAGATGACAGTGTCCCCTACAAAATGTGGCCCTGTCTCCCTAGAGACTCCCTCCACCATCCTTATGCTTCCCTCGTTCCCAGCTGTTGCCTCTCAGTTTCTCCCCCTCAGTTCTCCCACAGTTTATCATGCAGGGCAGCTGAGCTCCTGAGCGGTCCAACTGAGCAACAAAGTAGACAGGAATCTTTTGAAAGGATTAGATTAGTTTATACATGAAAAGCACATGGAAATCTCCTTTGTATTAATTATCTATTGCTGTATAACTTAGCAGCTTAAACATCTGTTCTCTCACTGATGCTTTGGGTCAGGGATCTAGGCAGAACTTAAGTAGGTTCTCCTGATATGGGATCTCACAAAGGCTATAATCAAAATGTTCCCCAGGGCTGGGGCCTCATCTGAAAGCTAAACCAAGGAAGGATCTAATTCCAGCTTCACCAACAACTGGCAGGGGGATGTTGAACTGAGGGCTTTATTTTCCAGCTGGCTGTCCTATGTCCAGGCATCTCCAACATGGCACTGAACTTCATCAAATCTAGTTAGAGAAAAAGGTGCTGGAGGGTGGCAGTGAGCTATGATGATACCACTGTACTCTAGCCTGGGCAACAGAATGAGACTCTGTCTCAAAAAACAAACAAACAAACAAAAACCCTCCACTTGGGCAACACAGAAAGACCCTGTCTTTACAGAAATAAAAAGGCATGTTGGCACCACCTGTAGTCACAGCTATTCAGGAGACTGGGATGGGAGTATCACTTGAGCTTAGTAGTTTAAGGTTGCAATGAGCTATGATCATGTTGCCCTATAGCCTGGGCAACAGAAAAAGACCTCGTCTCAAAAAAAAAAAAAAAAAAAAAGAAGGAAAGAAAGAAAAAGAAAGAAAAGAAAAGCTCTGTTTGCTAAAGAATCCTGTGAATTGTTATAAGAGATGGCTAGAATAAGTTAGGAAGCAAAATATGACAAATTGATATCACATCTTAGATTTTACAATAAATATACTTGATGTATATTTATTGAGTACCTACTATAAACTAGGTATAGTCTTGGTTTGGGGGTTACAGTCATAAACAAGAAAGTTTATGCACACAGGACCTCATTTTCCTCCTTACTTGGCTCGGTTTTATGGCCTGCCATTATAATCTCTCCTTACATACACTCCTCATTCTCTTGTCCTCTAACTTCATCTTACTCATCTCACTCATTCATTCATTTACTCATTCAGATACTAAACAATCATTCACCATCTTCCACATGCCAGGCACTGTTAGAAGCACTTGGGATTCATCTGTGAGCAAAGATGAAGATCCTCAACTTTACAGAGCTTACATATGAGCTGGCTCTGTGGCAGATGGTAGCGGGAAGTTGGTGGGAAAGAGATGGATTCTAATAAAGGAAAGATATTATTCAACTGAAATTTCCTAAATTATGCTAAGGTTACCCCCCCCAAATACTAGAGTATTATTCTAAAATGCCAATCTCATTATGGCTCTTTTGTGTTATATAAACCTCATTGGGTAAGTCTCCATTGCTTTTAGAATAAAGGAAGATTTCTTACCAGGTACTACAACCTAGTGCCCAGGCTCCATGCCCCTGTGTTTCCAGCACACCAGCCATAGCAGTAGTTGAATACTTGCATATGGCAGCTACTCCATTAATGCTTTATTAATTGAAATGTCTCTCAGAGTTTCCCTTTTTGCCTTTTGTTCTTCCACTTGTGTTCCTACTTCTACCTCAAATGATAATCCTATTGAAAGGAATATCTTAGAGGGCATGGTGACTCATGCCTGTAATCGTAGCACTTTGGGAGGTTGAGTGGGGAGGATCACTGAAACAAATAATAGAATATCTCAATGTTTTTGTAGTAAAAAAGGAATTAGTAATCTTGAATTCTTGATGACAGTAGTATTGGTACCAACATCTGCTTCTTGAAAGTCCCTTCCATCATCATTATCATAAATACTGATCTAGGCTCGGCACCTGTGGCTCAAGCGGCTAAGGCGCCAGCCACATACACCTAAGGTGGCGGGTTCGAATCCCCAGCCCG